CAGCATCAAAATTTTGATGTGCAAGTGAAATGAGATTCATGTGGAAAACATAATAATGAATTGTTAAGTAAGAACTGTAGTTAAGTTTTGTTTTAGTACCACTATCAATGCAGAAACACAGAAGAATTTTAATCCAAACCATACATCTGTTAATTTAGAAAGAACATGTTTTCAGTTTCAGTTTTACTATCTCAATTTTCAGAAACACTACTCTTTTTTCTTTTTATGTTCATGTAACAGTGGATTGTATTCAGCAAGAAGATAAGAAACTCTTTGCAGGATAAGGCTAGCAATCCATATCGTATATCTGATCTGTCAACACTTGGTTCATACTCAGTGTCAAGCTATAGAATCTCAACCTTTTTGCTTTACTGACCAATGCCAAGCTTTATAGAGTTTGGCAGCTTCCGCCATATATTGCCACAAAATAATGAGATCTGGCATAAAGAATCATAAAGAGAAATGGAGAGTGAAAACATGCTCTCACCCAAATGCATTTCGCAGCAATCCACATTCATTACACAAGAAGTAGGGAGCTTCTTCAGCAAAACCCATGGCCCATGAGTGAAGACAAAGCCGAACACAGGCATCATAAGCAATCACTGCATACCATGGACCTAGCTCACTGGTTCCATTCCATCAGATAAGAACATGATATCAGAAAACAATGAGATGAATCATCCATAAAAGCACAGATACTTGCGCCCATTAATTTAAGCTATGTATCTAACTTGCATGAAAATTAGGGAGGCGAGCAGGAAAAGAACTTGCAGATGCATTAACTTCAACACCAACATCAGACCTGCAATGCGTAATATCTTAGCTGTGCAGTCCAACAACTTCTTCAAAATAAACAAGTGGACAAGAGAAAAACACGCAGATACACAAACCTGGTAGACGGATTAGGAATTGCATTCTCGTTGCTGTCCTGTAAACGAGTTTCATTAACAATAGCTCCTGCTGAGTTTGGTTTATTGGTGCTTGCAGGTAAAGGAATGCTAGAAGACCCAAAACTTGAATGTTGCTCGGTAACTTGTTCAAATTCAGAAGCAGAATAGAAAGGTGGTGCACTGGGAACACCATTGTAAGACATTCTCTTACTCTGTAATGCTCCATTGTATAAATCCTGCAACCACTTAATGAGCTCAGTGTAGCATGATTACATTCCAACTTCTAACCAACATTATGACCCAGTTTAAGACGTTGCAATAAGGTAATCTTTGTCACATATCAATATTATTTTTCAAACTTTGTTTTCATCTTCAATAACTATATAGTTTTTGTATACAAACATACAACTTCAGAATTGAAGATTAAAAAATATTTCCATGTATCGAACAAAGCAATAATCGTCTCTCCCAATAACTATATGTCCTCAGTTAGCTGTTACATAGCAAGCATGGAGAGCAACATCAATTATATAGTTCTGACCGATTTAGTCGCTTACTACCTCCTCGAGGTATAACCAAGTAACTTAATAATGGGAATACAACATCACATAATTTTGAAGGAAATACTCATGCAACACACAGGGATTAAAGTAAAGGTACGAGACTGAAAGAATACAACAGAATCCTAACATATTTCAGCTATGTGCATACCCCATGGACCTACCTGCTACACTTTTTTACTATTTAAGAGTTATAATCTTACAAATAGAGTTTTTCTTTTATATATAAAAGGAGAAAACTCAAGGCTAGAAGAAATACCCTATAACCAAAAGAAAAAAGACCTGCCTAGGTTCAAAACTATGGTACAGTACTGCAAGGTGGAAGGAAGGCAGAAGAAAAAATACAACTCATCATCAGTTCTTTTTCTGGCATGGAGGCTGGGGGGTTGATATTGTGAACATTACAATAATCTCCACCTCGACAAATATTCACCCACATGTATAGATACCTCCACCTTAAGCCCTCGCTCCTCCCCCTTTCGAAATTATCCCAGCAGTGTCGAGCACGTCCAAACATGTTCTTGGATAGTAATCTCGGTAAATAATATAAGCAAGCCCAAACAAACAACAATTCTAAGTATGCATGCATTGTGTCAACAAATTATTGTTCATGTATTTTTTTTTCTGAGTAAACCTTATACTTTTTCTGAACCAAATCTTTATATAGAATTGACAAATTTGCATATTAACCAGAATAATGCCTATGCTTGTTGGCAATTCTCAAATGCAACAAAGAAGTGGTTTATGATAAATCTATGGGAACATAGTGGAGCACGAATAAATGGATTCACCAGAATCAATGGTGGGAGCCATACCGAATTGTTGAAATGGTACATACGGTTTATCTAGAAAGGGATGGGATAGAAGATTTAGAAGCATGCAGACAAAATGAGATGTTCCAGAGTTCTAGCAAAGCCGCATGGATTCCACCATCTAGAGGGAGGTGTAAGATCAATTCCAATGCTACATACCACTTGGGCAGGTTTCGGTGTGGTATGCAAGGAGTGGAACACTAATGTATTTTGCTGCAACGAAAACATTCCTACTCCGACCTCCGCGGAGATTTGCAGAAGTGACAGCCATAATATATGGTTTGGAAAGAGCTCAAGAGAGCGGTGTTCAAAATGTTGATGTTGAGGGAGACGCACAAGTAGTATTTTGTTTATTGGGTTCTAATAGCATTGATTTTTCTGAGTTAAAGACTTTTGATTGAAGATGTTAAATTGCTAACTACTTATTTTCGTTCTTTTTCTTCTTCATCGAGTCCTAAGCTCGAAATTGGGTGACCCACGCTTTAGCTAGGAAGCTCTTTTGGCCCCTAATAATCAAACTATGTTGTTGAAGTAGGCCATCCTTCTGGTCCTCCCTTATGGGCCATGATGCTTTAAATTATTTAACCTAATGGTTTGCACTATTTCTCT